ACAGGCAGAGATGCCTTCTCATAGGCCAGGTTCTCACAGAATGATGAAGGGATGATATGCAAGGGAAAACAAAATGATAATGATATAAGACAGAAAGGACCAAAAAAGAAAAGGAAAACATTATATGAAGACAATTTCATGGAGTCAGAAATAGAAAGACAATAATTTCATGGAGCCAGGAATACGTGGTTGAAGTAGAGTAACCCTCTTGCGCATGTTGTACGTAATGTAATGATTGATACGTACTTTCGATATTGATTTCGCTGGTGCACACGTTGGTGCAGTGCTGGTGCACGCGCTGATGCACGCGCTGGTGCAGCCAGTTGTTTTCCGTTGTACGTGATGCAGCTTGTTGAGGAGAAGGGTTTTCAATATCTTGTGTTCAGTTCTTCTTGCTTCTGGCCTGGTCGAGGTCGTGCTTTTTTCTTCTGTAAACTTCTTGTGCATTTTGGAATTGAAATTAATAATTATAGTCCAACTTATATCCTTGCGCTGGTCTGGTGGTGGATAATTCCACAACAACGTGGTGCCGAAACCCGGGAATATTCACCAATGCCTGACCCGACTGGACGAGTGGGGGGTTCGTCTTAACGAAGTAACTGTTACTTTGAAGTAAACAGAGCGTGGGAGCGGAGGAGGTGAGGAGCTGGTGGGAGGGGAAGACGACGCGGAGAGGAGGCAGAGAAGGTGGTGGACTAGAACTGTGGACTGGAGCCTGAGACGGCAGGAACCGCGACGGAGCGTGCGGCCGTGGCTCGCCAGAGGACAGTGGACGAGTCTGGCATCACCGACTGTGTGTCGTCCTTGTTGTCTTGCTCGCTGTGTTGTTCTCTCTCTGTTCAGTTCGTTGCTTGTTGCTGATGTGCCTGCTGCAGATGCTGTTGCTGATGTGCCTGCTGCAGATGCTGTTGTTGACGTGCCTGCTGTTATTGATGTGCCAGCTGCGGGTGCTGTCCCTGATGCTGGGTCTCGGTTTGATTCCCGTGGTCCTAATTATGTGCCGCTTCGAGCCCCTGCCGATGATCCTGCTCCGTATCAGTTATGGCCTCCGTCAGCGTGGTTCGCTTGCACCCCCTCAGCGCTTCCGTTAGTTTTGCTTTGTGGCGCTATTTAGTATTTGTGGTGGTATTTTCTTTGGCATACCACCAGGGGGAGAGGTGAAGTAGAGTAACCCTCTTGCGCATGTTGTACGTAATTAGATTGATACGTACTTTCGATATTGATTTCGCTGGTGCACACGTTGGTGCAGTGCTGGTGCATGCGCTGATGCACGCGCTGGTGCAGCCAGTTGTTTTCCGTTGTACATGATGCAGCTTGTTGAGGAGAAGGGTTTTCAATATCTTGTGTTCAGTTCTTCTTGCTTCTGGCCTGGTCGAGGTCGTGCTTTTTTCTTCTGTAAACTTCTTGTGCATTTTGGAATTGAAATTAATAATTATGAGTCCAACGTATATCCTTGCGCTGGTCTGGTGGTGGATAATTCCACAACATGGTTGATTTTATAGACATTCATGCACAAATGATTGATAGATGAGAAGGTTGGAATTTATGGCTGATAATAAAAGTTTAACGAGGATATTCACAAAGTAAGTATATCAATGGCAGAAAGAGCTTTTCGGAAGGGACCAGGGACACCTATTACTCTAAAATCAGAGGGGATATGTTGAGCTGTGTTGGCATCACGCAAGACCATTCCGCTATCTGCAAGGCTATGTTCTCCTTCCTGCTTCGAAAAAGATCATTCCCCACGATTCAACAAAAACAGGATTTTCTCCTCTTCTCGCCATAAGCCAAGGGTTGTGTTTTGCTGATCAAGGTTCATATGAAGTTACAGTCAATGCCTGTAGGCAGTCATAGCGGAATGATTTATGAAAAGGATTGAGAAACAGAAGGGTACCAGGTTCAAGTACTGCTCGGTTGCGGAAGGATTTTCCAGCCTTGCTGCGAGCCACATTTAATTCGGAACTCATGGTCTGGCACGAGTGAAACATGGATATAGCGAATGTTACTGTCGGTACTTGACCACTATTTCGGTTGGTGTGATCTACTCACCAGCCACTGTTTAAGGCATGTTTCTCACCTCTCATATAAAACAAATCTGAGCGATCTGCGATCCTTTTTTTGAAATGGCAGAGAATTTGAGTTGGACGCTCGCAAATGGAAGTTTCCGGAGGAGGAAGGAGGAAACTGTAGTTATCACCAACCCTCACCGCGCCCAGCTCACGCAGCTACGGCGTGCGACCTGAGCTGGGCGCCCTGCCCAGTATGGAACTGTCCTCAAGCCAGTCACGTATTTGGCAGCCCAGTGAGCTGTCTACCGGATCGCAGCGTTTAGAAGCGCCAAATGCGGCAGGGCCAGTCTCAGGCTGGTCGCGTAGGCGGCAGGCCGGCGGGCGACCGGCAAGGCTGCATTCGCATTTGGATCACCGAAGTGATACGGGTGCTTCGACGGCACTCCGTGGCGCATCAAGGAGGCATCTGGGGCCCAGGCAGCCCGCCCGTAAGCGCACCACCGTATCAGGTATGCGCAGGTGGAGCAGCAGAGCAAGATGTGTGCCGGACACTCACCATCATCCGGTCGACTGCATGGTTGTGCGACTTTACACAGCCGTCACTCATTACTTGCTATTGCTTGCAGAAGGCCAGAATTTTTTTTCTTTTTTCGCTCTTTCCCTTCTTCCAGGCACGGCTTCATGTTAGAGCAGTAAATTGCAGTTAGGGACTCAGCTGAGTCAAGCTGGACTCAGCGTGTCAAGTTTGGCATAATACAATAAGCGCGCTATCCCCAAACAGTTGTGTGGTTATTGTGTGAGTGTATATGCAGGAGTCCGCGGTCACGTGAGGGGGAGTGATAATGCTGGCTTTGGAGCGCCGGATCACTCTGCGGCGCTGGTTCTGTGGATTTAATGATGGATAGCTGGCTATCACTGTATCCCTCTTGCCAAGAGCTTTCCAGAAAACCCAAGGTGAGCAAAATCGGCCAAAGGACACCAACGTTACGATCAGATAAGTAACTGGGCTCGCGTATGCAGTGCATTCCACGAAATAATCGTGGGCCCTAAAGGGTTTTAAGGAGCTGCATCCGTGCCCTGATACAGGAGTGTGGTGGTGCTCCAATGGATGCAGTATACTTAGGCTAACTAAGTCTGACACGAGCCACGAAAAATGTCCACCTCTAGCCAATGAAATGCTTGTCTCCGCATTTCTTATTCGTATTACTTCCTCCGTTAACAAAAACTTCGCGATGGATTTTGATGGATATGAAAACGCTTAGAACAGGTCAAGAGCAGTTTGTGCCGACTGCAAATCACTGAACGAAGATAGTTCAGCCTATGTGCAGCATCTTTACAGGCGAAACTGTTGGCATTATGAGCAGAGAGTTCAGTTTGTGTCGCTTTCGCTCGACTCATTGTTGACCCTGCGTCGCTGTCGTCATCCGCTGCACGCGATTCGTCATCTCTCTCAAGTCGTTGTTCAGCTCGTTTCAGCCTTGCCTCGGCTTCTTTGACCACACTCCGCTGAACTTGATGCCGCCGCCGTCGTTGTAAGTAAGTTAGTTGGCATTCAAGCTGCGTGATCCATCGCGCTGGCCATTACTCGCTTTCACCTGGGAGTCGTAAAAAATATTTTACGACTCCCTGGTTTCATCTTCGCTCTCCAGAACTCCGCGAAAGGAGGAGTAAAGGCACAGCCAAACTGATTCCATTTCTCTGATTGATACTCCTACCAGCACTGAACGGCAGCGGCTAGCAAGTCCAGTCGACTTTCTTGAGCCACGAGACTCGCGTCGGACTGCTGACTTCTGAAAGTATGCATGGTCATCAACATTCGAATCTGGGCTTTGCGCAGGTTGACCAAGAACTTGAATTCAGAATTATTTCATTGCGCCGGGCGATCGGAGCAGCTCCTTGTTCACTCACTCATTGTGTAGGCTGGCTGCTCCATTCCATCGCTCTCTATCACTCTCTAACTCAGTGTTAGAGTAGTAGAGAGGCCAAGCAGCCCATTATTCCCTCGGAAAAGTGGTATTTCAGTTTCGCTCACCATGACTGTCATCACCTATGTTGCCACAACGCAACCATCGATTCCGCTCGGCTTGTTGTGAAAGGTCGCTTTCCTTGCATCGTACCTCTTTCATGGCATGTGAGAGAAGGCCGAGAAAGTGATCGCGACTCATTTCCCGGCAGTTTGTGCGCAAACGAGTCACTCAAAAATCCATCGCGAAGTTTTTGTTAATGGAGGAAGTAAAACTAATTATATAAAAAATCAATATACCGTAGTGACGCGCATTTAAGCGGATGTGCCTACACCCGGGCATAAGCGCACCCTCACAAATAAGCACATGGGCTTATAAGTGAACCTAAATGGAATTCCATCCGCGACACACAGACACCACAAAACACCATGTTCACATAGTTAAATACCGTAAAAGCCCGTGTATAGGCCCGGGGCGTCTAGAATAACAGCCTCGATTTCCTGGGCCTATACAAGGGCACGGGCGTTATTTTGGAACCGGGCGTATACTTGGAATAGGGATAGGAGGAAGTATTGGGTATCAGTACCTGTGCATGTACTGGTGTTGCCGGCATACCTGGGCGTATACATGGGCATGGGCGTTATTTTGAAACAAAAGTTGTGTGCATCCCCTGACTGGGCGTGTACCCGGAGAATGGGCGTATACTGGCGGCTTTACTGTAGCAGCGCGGTATCGCACTATTTCCATAATTGTACATGGCGCCGGTATACTAGCAACTCAAGCGCATGCGCCTATGTGTGAGATAAAACGGCCCGCAGAATAATAACTATATCAAATGACGTAAAACTCACTCATAAGCGCATGGCCCCTTAGGTGCGTCACTAAGGTATAAAGAAAATTGATGTGAAAACGATGCTCGGTGTTTTGCAGAGTTACGGGAACGAGCTTGTCAGCTCGAACGCCTTTCTTCTAACAGAATGTAGGGCACGAAAAAGGAAAAAAAGCAGTGTTCAATACCAGAACTTACGCTTCAAAGTTGAATCCTCTTTGAAAACCACAGGCTTGGCTAAGTTCGTAAAGTGCTTATAATGCTGTGAAAACTCTGCATCACAATTCAAGCGACAGTTCTCAGCACTGGTACAGAGGCCATTGTGCCACATCATTTTCACTTCAGCCTGTTCAACATATCGTGCACAGCGGTTCCTGACCAAGGGAAGGTTTCCCTTGGATGGGTTGCTAAGCTTAACAGAGTGACTTGCATTTCCAACAGAACAATGTTCAAAAACGTTGTCTTTCACGCAGTGTCCATTCGACAGGTAGGGAAAGTCCAAAGCCATCATGTTGAACTCTCGTCGAATGAACACCCTGAATGGCAGCTCTGCTTCAGCAAAACCTGCAGAGATAAGCAAGGAGTGACAAGACAACCACACACACACACACACACACACACACACACACACACACGCACACACATGTGTACACACGTACATGCACACACATACACACACTCGTACATACACATACAGACAGACTTTTAAGGAGGCTTGCGACCACCAAACTACAAAAATTAGAAAAATAACATAAAAAACAGTTCTACTTCTAGGATGGCAATAAACAGAATTATTATTATCTTTATTCTCACGATGGCCGTAGCCAATAAGAAAGAGAGAGACAGTACTACGTGTTATCAATCAGAGTGGGTGCAATAAACCGGGAGAAACAGTGGCTAGTGGCAGCCGTGGTTTGGGTGCTTCATTTGCGTAAGGTCGAAGAAGGAAGTATATCCATTGCGAAGGCAGGTAGGCGATAGAGCTAGATTAAAACGATATACCTAGGCTGGGCTACAGTGGGGGTTGGAGCATGTGCAAATTGATGATACTATGATCGGGGTAACTTGCTTTCCCCGCCTGTGCTGTCCCTGTATGGATTGCCCTGCCACCCGCCGTCCTCAGCCAGCCACCTGACCGGAAACGGCTGCAAAGTTTCAAAGTGTCCGTCTTCTGGCACCTCCGTGCCCAGCAATGGCACTGGGCCACTGACACTTTGTAAGATGTATGAACATCTGCCCACACACTGCTGCATATTGCCATACGCCCTCGTTCTCTGCTTACTCTTTTCTCTGGATCTGAATGTGCACCCCTTACGCATTATATAATTATACTTTATTTAGTTCTCTCCCCCTCTCTTGCCCCAACCCTCCCCGCTTGCTCTCTCTCTCTCTCTCTCTCTCTCTCTCTCTCTCTCTCTCTCTCTCTCTCTCTCTCTCTCTCTCTCTCTCTCTCTCTCTCTCACTCTCTCTCTCTCTCTCTCTCTCTCTCTCTCTCTCTCTCTCTCTCTCTCTCTCTCTCTCTCTCTCTCTCTCTCTCTCTCCTCTCTCTCTCTCCTCTCTCTCTCTCTCCTCTCTCTCTCTCTCCTCTCTCTCTCCTCTCTCTCTCCTCTCTCTCTCCCCTCTCTCTCCCCTCTCTCTTTCCCCTCTCTCTTTCCCCTCTCTCTTTCCCCTCTCTCTTTCCCCTCTCTCTTTCCCCTCTCTCTTTCCCCTCTCTCTTTCCCCTCTCTCTTTCCCCTCTCTCTTTCCTCTCTCTTTCCTCTCTCTTTCCTCTCTCTTTCCTCTCTCTTTCCTCTCTCTTTCCTCTCTCTTTCCTCTCTCTTTCCTGTCTCTTTCCTCTCTCTCTCTCTCTCTCTCTCTCTCTCTCTCTCTCTCTCTCTCTCTCTCTCTCTCTCTCTCTCTCTCTCTCTCTCTCTCTCTCTCTCTCTCTCTCTCTCTCTCTCTCTCTCTCTCTCTCTCTCTCTCTCTCTCTCTCTCTCTCTCTCTCTCTCTCTCTCTCTCTCTCTATCTACCTATCTATCTATCTATCTATCTATCTATCTATCTCTCTCTCTCTCTCTGTCTCCCTCTCTCTCCCTCTCTTTCTCTCTCTGCTATTGGTGCGCCTGGTTGTGATGAAGCCGAGACCCAAGGTCGGCAGAGCATCCCAGACCACGCCACCACTCCCCTTATTCATGGCTCACACATGACGGGTTTACGTGGCTCTAGTAAAAAAATAAATAAATAAACTTTTCTTTTGAATTCATTTATTTCTCGGAGGAAGTAACAGTGTGGTGGCAGGTGGTTGTACTGAGTGCATGCGGAGTACAAGGGTGAACGTTGAAGGCGAGTGAAGTGGGTGGTGGGGAAAGCGAAGACTCGATGACGCCTCAATTCTTGGCTTGGTGGCTCGGTGATGTAGCCTGAGGTCGCAAGCTGGATGTGTGGCGGGGATCGTTTGACAGCGATGGTGTGTGCAAAGAGTAGCTGCTTGAGCTTCCGGCGGGATAAGAGGGTTGGCCAAGTGACGTGGTGGAGTAATGAACGGACTGAAGAGGGAGAGGCGGCGGCAAAGTTTTGCTGACCGCCGTTGGAGACGTTCGAGGGCATCTTGTTGCTGAGCATTCATAGCTGACATAGCCAGAGAACCATATTCGATAACGGGGCGTATATACGTGGTGTACAGTGCTGACAGGGCGGTGGGTGAAAGACGTCCACGAATCCGTCTCAAGAGGTGGAGAGTGCGCGCAACTTTGCTTTCAATGTGCTGGATGTGGACATTCCACTTCAGGTCGGCCTGAATGTTCATACCCAGGTGTCGCTGGCTCTGGACTTTGTTCAGTGTTTCGCCTCTCAACGTTATTGTCATGGGGAAGGCTCCGCACAGTGTCATCACGACCGTCTTCATTTCGTTGACGGTTAGGTGCCAGGTGTCGAGCCACGTAGCGGCTTTAGTCACACTGGACTGGAGCGCTCGCTCTGCTGCCGCTGCTGAGTGGTCGCTAGCGATTAAGGCGGTGTCGTCGGTGAAGAGGCTGCTTCGTGTGGTTTGGGAGTTGCAAGCTCCTGGTAGGTCCATCGTGTATACGAGGAATAGCACCGGGCCGAGTACCCTGAGGGACTCCTGCAGGGATGTCAAGCCAGTCGGAGGCTGTGCTTCCGATTCGGACCTGCTGCCTCCAGCCCAGGAGGTAGCTCTCAAACCAGCGGAGTGCTGCACCCCTTACGCCATGGTGTTCAAACTTGTGCAAGAGGCCACAGTGCAACACGCGGTCGAAGGCCTTGGAGAGGTCAAAGAAGCAGACGTGGACTGACTTCTGGACCTCAAGGTCCGCAGCAAGTTCGTGCAGCAGGCGGCTTATTTGATACTCTGTGCTGTCGTGCTTCCTGAAGCAACTGAAGCATCATTTCACGAAGGTTTAATTGAGATGTCACAAACAAAATCTAGAGAAAGTGGTGATGGACAAATAAATAACTATGATGGCAATGTAATGTGAAGAACAATAATAGGAGCAGGAGAAAATGTTACGAGTAATGACTAATTCTCCACCAACGTTTCCTGATCTTATACAGTTGTTGAGTCCGAACAAGGCCAACTGACAACGGGAACAGGTATGTTGGTGGAACGACATTTATTCCGTAGCTATGCAGTAGACGTTACTTCAGTAACGTCTGGCGCTAGCCAGGGTCCACACAGCTTTAATTCCCGTCGCTATGCAGAAGACGTTACTTCAGTAACGTCTGGCGCTAGCAAGGGTCCACACAGCTTTAATTTGGTATTTGTGTGTTTGTTTGTGTGTGTTGTGTCACGCCTGGCGTTATCCCGTATCTGTCCCGTACCGTACCGAACCATCAAACACAGCTGGCCACATACAGCTGGCCGTAGGGCTTTCAAACGCAAGATAATAACGTGAAGCAACTTGGAAGAATGGGTATGAATGCGAAGTGTATGGGGGAATGCATGTAGGGCGACAGTGCGGGTTCGAATCCCAGGATATGCCTTAAAAAAAATAGGAGAATTGAAAAATTTATAACATCCCTATGCTTTTTTGCCGTCAAGGCGGTAGACGGTGTCGTATTACCCTCGATCGTACCTGTCCCGTACCTATCCCGTACCGTACCATCAAAGACGGCTGGCAACAATGCATATTCAAATAGGGCTTTCAAATGCAAGATCATAACGTGAAGCAACTTGGAAGAATTAGTATGTATGCGAAGTGTATCGAGGGATGCATGCAGGGCGCGCGATAGTGCGGGTTCGAATCCCAGGTTATGTCTTAAAAAAAAAGGATTTTTTTAAAGAATTTGTAACATCCCTATCCTTTTTTTGTCTAGGTCATCAAGGCAAAAAAGCATAGCGTAGGGCCCTGAGCTTCCAAGCTCTCTCGTTTGGTGTTTGTTTGTTTGTGTGTTTGTGTCACGCCTGGAGCTATCCCGTATCTGTCCCGTATCTGTCCCGTATTTGCTGGCTCCAGTATCTGTCCCGTACCGTACCATCAAACACAGCTGGCCACAAACAGCTGGCCACAATATTCGTCGTGTTATGTATACGACTCCCTGATGTAGAGGGAGATTTGGAAAGAAATAGGGAGACGAGGAGGAAATGAAATTAGAATAGACGCCAAATAGGTGATAGGATGCGTCAGCAAAAACATACTTTGGAAGAGAGATCCCGTCGTCTCCAGAATAAGCGTGAACGGGCGATTCACGCCGGTCACAGGAAACGTCGGAAGAGAGATCCCGTCGACTCCAGAACGCCAATGATCGGCAGAGTCAGCGCCGGTCACAGGAAACGTCAGGACAGACATCCCGTCGACTCCAGAACGCCCGTGATCGGCAGAGTCAGCGCCGGTCCCAGGAAACGTCAGGGCAGACATCCCGTCGAGTCCAGAACGCCCGTGATCGGCAGAGTCAGCGCCGGTTCCAGGAAACGATTTTCGCTGAGTACCAACCGGCCACAGTAAATCGCAGGCCAAAGTTTGTGATAGAGGCAAATGATGCATGATTGAGCAATGGATGCACGTGAGAGCAAAAACGATCGATTTTTTTAACTCCAATCGGCCAAAGTTTAATGACGGCGAAAAGTGTTGTTTCGAGATCGGCCAAAGTTTCTCATCGGCCAAAATTTGTTGATTTACAGTATAAGGAGATAAAAGAAAAAGGAGCAAACCAAAAGCGGATGAAATTAGAGAAAAATAACAATCCGCAATTAATTCTACAAATACTTTTGCGTAACTCATATTCAAACTGATCGAAACGTTTTGCAAAGACATGGTTAGCATTTTACCGTTCACGCTATTTCGACCGTCGGCGTGTAGAGAGCGAGTCTACTGTTTTTGATGTGTTTTCGAGATACGGTTAGCAGTTCGGCTTCTGAGTCCTGACTCCTGACGCAACGATAGACGTGTGAGGTAACCCTAGTTAGAATCTTACCGTTTCGTTCTCCCGCTAAAAAGAGCTTTCTATCGTCGAAACGGTACCAAACCGACGGTATTTCGGGTTTGGGGTACGAGTACCGTTGGATCTAGCGCGTGAACTGTAAAATTCCATGTCTACACACACACAAAAACGGTGCCGGCCTACCGCCGAATATAGCGTGAACAGTAAAATGCTAACCATGTCTAATGATGTGGCCAATCAACGAAAAAAACATTTCCATCAGTTCTAATAATATGTACGATGAGCAAAGCAAAAAAGAATAGCGTAGGGCCCTGAGCTTCCAAGCTCCCTCGTTAGAGACGGGATGACTAAGACCAGGACGGACGAAACGACTACATGGTGATTATTGAAGAGGGAGATTATTGAAGAGAGAGCAACGCAATATAAAGGGCCTGGGTAGCTATGGCAAACATGGACGCTCAAGTAGCTACCCAGGCCAAATGAATAATGCATGAACTAATGAATTGTAACTCGGATGGCGAGCCAATTAAATAATTGTGAAAAGAAGAAAGACAAAAATGTTACGAGTTATGACTAACTGTCCACCAACGTAACCAGATCTTATACAGTTAGCGAGTGCGACACAATGGCACAAAACTGATAAGGAGTACTGAGACATTCGGCGACCTGACACCTACAGTCCATTCAGAAAAAAATGAACTTCTAGCTTTTGGCCATAAATGGGTCAAACGTTGAGTTTTTTTAGAATTTTTTTCTGCAATCCCATATGGAATCCTCTTCCAATTATGTTTCTGAAGTTTTTTTGTCCAAAAAGCAAGCCATAGCAAGAATAGGATTTCGGCCAGGTTTTGCCCCAAAAGCACTGAATTGGGAAAAACCATCAAAATCCAGGCCGTTTGACCCCGCCTGCAACAGTGCATTCTGCGGTTCGAACCCCAGTTCAGGCACCCTTTTTGGACCCTTTTTCAACTTTCAAAGTTCGCAGCACTGCACTGTGTACGATGAAATCACGAAAAATCGCCAAATACGGGAGCTCGCCAGAGCCAGGACCCATCTTTTTATGAACGGACTGTAGGTCCAACACTTCTCCAAGGCACTCGCTGACTGTATAATATCTGGTTACGTTGGTGGACAGTTAGTCATAACTCGTAACATTTTGTCTTTCTTCTTTTCACCACTAATGAATTATATGAATTAATATATTGCAATTACTTGTGGGCCTAACATACCACCCCTCCATGAAAAAAGAATGCTGCGTCCTTGCGCAGAAAAAAAAGAAAAAAGAGAGAAAAAGATAAAAGATGACCGATGGAGAAAAAAAAACACACACACACACACTGCACGCGCACGGATCTCACAAAAGTGTTTACTAATATCATGCATTACAGCAAGAGTAGATAAACAAGAGTGTGCAACTGCCTGCACAACCTCTATGCTGTGCTGCGACGGCAGAACTTCACATCACGTGACATGGTTCAAAGGTTATGCTGGCAAACAGTGCAAAGTGACCACAAGAGAGTTGTACCCAAAGCTGGGCTGCGTACAACCCAGTATCTATCATGCACTAGAGTGCACGGGTTCATCACGTGATGTGAAGTTCTGCCGTCGCAGACCC